GTAAGCCACCAAGTCTAGGACACTTAAAACCATTTGGTTGTCTTGCATACATGCATGTAAAACAAGATAAGTTGAGTCTTAGAGCTGTTAAATCTGTCTTTGTTGGTTATCCTTCAGGTGTTAAGGGATATAAGCTATGGCTCATAGCTGAAAGGAAGTGTGTCATAAGTAGAGATGTGATTTTCGAAGAAAACACATTCTATAAAGACATATCCAAACTGAGTGACAAAGAGCATCCTCCTAGGACTGTTGAGTTGGAGGTGGAGCTGCCCAACAACACTGGGCAGCAACCTGATGTGGCTGAAAATGAACAACAACACACTGTTGCTGAAGTTCAAGATGATGGGAATGACATTCCCATTGAGGAGCATGATGTGGAACTGGATAGAGATAATCTAGAGGATTATTTGCTATCTAGAGATAGGACTAGGAGGAATATAAGACCTCCAAGTCGTTTTGCACATGCAGATGTCATAGCATTTGCACTCCAAGTTGGAGATGTGCTGGAGTTTAATGAACCCAGCTCATACCAAGAGGCTATGAGGCTGGATTCTAAAATTCATTGGCTAAAAGCCATGAAGGAAGAGATGGAGTCTCTTGAGAAAAATAAGACTTGGGTTTTGGTGGAGCATCCAAAGAATAAGAAGGTGATTGGATGCAAATGGATTTTTAAAAGGAAGCCAGAAATCCCAGGTGTTGAAGCTGCCAGGTTTAAGGCAAGGGTTGTTGCTAAGGGTTTTTCACAAGTTGAGGGGGTTGATTACAATGAAATACTCTCCCCTGTTGTGAAACATGTTTCAATTAGGCTCATACTTTCAGTTGTTGCAATTCATGATTTAGAATTGGAACAATTGGATGTCAAGACTGCCTTCTTGCATGGCAGCCTTGAAGAGCTCATATTCATGGAGCAACCCGAAGGATTTATAAAAAAAGGGGCTGAGAACAAAGTGTGCCTTTTGAAAAGGTCCCTTTATGGGTTAAAACAAGCCCCTAGGCAGTGGTATAAGAGGTTTGATGATTTTGTTTTGTCCAAAGGCTTTAATAGGAGTAGTTTTGATCATTGTGTGTACTTTAAACAACTGCATGATGACTGTTTTATCTACTTACTGATTTATGTTGATGACATGTTAATTGCATCTAAGGACATAAATGAAATTAATAATCTGAAATCATTGTTGAAAAAGGAATTTGAGATGAAGTTCCTTGGTCCAGCCAAGAGGATACTTGGCATGAACATTACAAGGAAAAGAGATGAGAAGATATTGACTCTCTCTCAATCTGAGTATGTGAAAAAGGTCTTAAAGACCTTTGACATGTACCTGGCCAAACCTGTAAGTGTTCCCCTTGCTGGTCACTTCAGGTTAAAGGCTGTAGATGGTGAGTCAGCCTCAGATGAGGCTTCTTTTATGTGCAATATTCCATATTCTAATGCTGTTGGATGCCTAATGTATGCCATGATAGGTTCTAGGCTTGATATTGCTTATGGTGTTAGTGTAGTAAGTAGATACATGAGTAAACCATCTAAGGAACATTGGAATGCTGTGAAATGGTTGCTTAGATACCTTAGTGACTCTGTTGATTGCTGCATTCATTATACTGCTCAAAACTCAGTTAATTGTGATATTACTGGTTATTGTGATTCTGACTGTGCTGCTGATCTTGATAAAAGAAGATCTCTAACTGGTTTTGTTTTTTGTGTGGGAGGAAATGTGGTGAGCTGGAAAGCAAGCTTGCAACACATTGTGGCACTCTCCACAACTGAAGCAGAGTATGTGGCTCTCACAGAAGCTGTCAAGGAGGCAATGTGGTTACATGGAATTGTCTCTGAGTTGGGTCTAGGTAAGGACCCTCCTAAGGTATTTTCTGATTCTCAATATGCCATACACTTGTCCAAAAATGGTGCATACCATGAAAGGACCAAGCATATAGATGTTAGGTTGCATTTCATAAGGGAAATAATTAGTAATGGTCAGGTTAGTGTGAATAAAATACCAACTGAAATTAATCCTGCAGATATTTTGACTAAGACTGTTCCTCTTAGTAAATTTAGGGAGGCTCTAAATTTGCTAAAAATAAAACCTCCCTAAATTGCATGCATTGTATAGGCCTTGGGTTAAACGCCAGGAAAACTCTGGTGTGCACTTTATTCTGTTGTATGTTTAGTAAATAGGTGGAGATTTGTTAGATCGTATTTTTCTAAACATGCTTGTACTTTCTCTGTTTGCTTTTTGGGCCAATGTATAACCGGTTGTTTACTAAGGCCCATATGTTGACAATTGATAATTCACCTGCACATAAAAACGGTGTCGTTTTGTTTAGCTGAAATGAATGATAAAATATCTCACCTACTCTCTTATCGTGTGACAGAGCATTTTTTACGGATTTTAAAATCTTTTAGTCTCTCTCTCCTTTTTCTTTGTACAATTCGTTCTCTCTGAAAAGGTTGGAACTTAGGGTTTGGAACGGAGGTTTGAGAGTGAGATTTGAGTGAGAAATATCGAGTATCTCATCTCGGTGTAGTTGAGAGTTTTGTTCCTGGTGGTGTGGCGCTTCATTTAATCGGTTTTTCTTTGGGAGTTGCTATCTTCCAAGATTGAAGGTGGTTCTGATGTTGAACTCTCTGTGCTGTTGAAGAGTTCTGGAGACCGTGTAGCTGATTGCACTGGTTTGGTGGTGCTTGCTTGAAGACGGTGATATCTTGCCTTTTTTCTGTATAGTTCTTTTGTATCTTGTTGAAAAACCGTATGTAAATGTGCTGGCTCCATTTAGGTATTTTTGGTATCTCTCTGTAATAGTGAGTAGGTGATGTGTTTACCTTTTTTTATGCATGCTGTGTTTACTGTTTGCATATGTAAATAGCTAAACATATTTGTACCTGCTATCTGTTCTGAATAAAGTGTATGCTAGACGGTGTTTGACCCTCTCTGGCCAACTTGGATGTAGGAAATTCTTATACAAAGAATTTCTGAACCAAGTATAAATTTCTTGTGTGTTGTTTCTTATGTTTTCTGTTTCTGTAAGTTCGGTCAGTGGGCTGATTCTTGGTAGCTTTATACCAAGAATTATAACACATACAAAGGTAAATTAATAATAATAAAAAAAGAAAAATATTAAAATAAATAATTATAAAATCATCACCTTTAAGTCACTGATGTGTATGGTTTTGATTTTCCTCTTTTTAAAACGTTTTAGTAAGCCCAAGTTAATATCTAACCAGAAACAGCTGCGTAAAAAAAGTGTTATGGAAATCATCATTGTCGTATGTTATGTAGGAAGGTATATCATGTCAAATAAAAGTTAAAGGGAAGTTGTCGCTTTTTTTCTTTTTTGGGTTGCAGAATTGTCTCTCGTGTTTGATTCAATTAATAAAATGATGGAATTAATAGAATAATGATTTTTTAAAATAAAATAAGTAATTTGTGCGTTTTTAGTTAAGTGTCATGTTAATTTTTGGTATTTCTGTTACTGTTTTGAATTTTTTACCCTGTCTTGCTTTGTATGAGTTATTTTCAGTTAATATTTTGTCTCTCTTTTTCATTGGGATGATTAATTCGTATACTTTTTGTTAACTGAGAAAGTAAGAGAGAAGAGAAATAATTTAAAACCTTGTCAATGTTGAGATCAATCTACATTTTTTTTATATTAATATTAAGCAATTGTAACTTTGTAAGGTTACGGAATAATTAAATATGCTCGAGCAACACGCGTTGTACGATATGCTATTTATTTATTAGAGAAAAGTGTTTATACTTTTAAATGACACAATTTATATCATTTCACTCTCACAAAGAGGTGAGATCTATACCTTTATTTTTTTTTTGTCAAATCTCTCTCCTCCTTTATCTATCTCTTTCTCTCTCTTAAAATGACACAATTTTACATCCTTTAAAATAACACACACTTTTTCCTATTTATTATCAGTCTTTTTGTCAAAATACACATAGGAGTTATCCACTTTATCACCACTATTTGCATGAGTCACGACTCACGAATATATGTTTTTTTTTTGTGGTTTATGTTTTTTTTTTTAAATTAGACATCTAAACAGATTTTGTAATAGAAATATATATATATATATTTTTTGAAAAATTAGTTTTTGGCTAAAAAAACCTATCCAAATATAATATTGTTTTATACTCATTAATTTAATTTTGATTCAACGACCACAAAAAATTATTAATATAATTTTTCTCAAAAAATATATATACATATATTTGTTGGATCCAGCTTTTACGACTAGATTAAAAGTTAATGGGTCTTTATTTTGTCATGTTATATGAAATTTTTTTTTATCATGCAATAGTAAAAGATAAAAAAATAAAATAAAAATAAAATCAGATGAGATACTTTGTTCAATAATTTTATTTTGTCATATATTAGCAAAATCAAATTATTTTTCCTATAACATAACTCTTATTTACCTCAAAATTAATAGTGTGTAATTCTTTTTATTTACCCGTAACCGCTCAAGCGTTATCATTAATTTGACCGGGTCTTGCAAAGGCAAAATATTAACATCTCCAATAATTCCCCCAGCACTTATCTTTGGCGAAGTGTTATCTCGGACAATTAAACCCATAATCTCAGCGCTAAAATCACATGTTGCATTAAACACTCACCACTACATCAAAAATTAGCACCGGATAATCTAATATGAAAATTCATAAGATTATGTTACGTAAAAAATTGTAATTATATAAAGGTGTATCAATGATAATGAAAGAGGAGAGAGAAAAAAATATTAAAATATATAGTTACGAAATCATAACCGTTGATTTATCTTTGTATGATTGTGATCTTCTCACATGACCATATCATGTTTTTTTTTTTCATTCTTAAAAAAATAAAAAAAAATAAAAAGTGACACAATTCAATTATCGAACTGTGCGAGAGAAATTTATCACATCTAAATAGTTTTTCTCATATCTAAAATGCTGTTTTAGACATAAATTATACCGGTGAGACAAAAGCACAATGTCCGTAGTTCTTCCAAATGCACAATGATTGACTTTGAGACACTATTGCTCTTCCTCGTACCAGTCCTACTAACATATATTTTCTTCTTCACCGTCAAACACACCACCACCACTACCACCACCGTTCTCCGCCTTCCACCAAGTCCACCATCCATCCCACTGATCGGCCACCTCCACCTCCTCACTCCATCCTTACACAAATCCTTCCAAACCCTCTCCTCTAAACACGGCCCTCTCCTCCACCTCAACCTCGGACCCTCCCGCCGACTCCTCCTCGTCTCCTCCGCCGCCACCGCCGCCGACATATTCAAGACCCACGACCTCGCCTTCTCTTCACGACCCGCATTTGCTTTCGCCGAGAAACTCCCTTATGGCAACTCCGGCTTCATCACCGCCCCCTACGGCCCCTACTGGCGCTTCATGAAGAAACTTTTCGTCACCGAACTTATGAGCTCGCGCCAAATGGAGCGCTCCAAAACCATCAGAGCCCAAGAAATAGAGCTTTTACTCAAAAGGGTGTTCGAGAATGCTCGCTCTAATGCTGCACTTGACTTGGGCTCTGAGTTCATGAAGTTCACCAACAACGTTACTTGTAGAATGGCCATGAGCACCAGGTGTGTGTAATCTGAAATCAGTAATGGAATTTTTTTTTTTTTTTTTTTTTACAAATTTTGTAGAGAAATTATCACATACTTATAAGAGAGAGAATTTTCAAGAAACAAAATCATGTAAAAAACTCGAAAAAAAAAATCTATTCTTTCTCATCAATCATGATATTAAATTTTTTTTGGTTGAGATATCCAAATGGATTAATCTAATTTATCCGATTTATTCAGGGTGTGTTATGAGATTAAGATTTTAAATCCTTCTCAAATATGATCATGGGAGGATCGAATTAATGTTATCACTCCCACGTGCTCAATTGCCGTAATTTTAAATTGTAAGAATGTAGGTAGAGTTTTGTGCCCAGGAGAGCTATTTCGGTAATCGAGAGAACGGTGGAGAAATTCCAAAACAAAAGTTATAGTTACATTTGGAATTCAATTAATAAAATTATGAAAAATTGCATATAAATGTGGCTACAATTTAGGTTGTGCAAGTACTTCTTAAACTATTATTGTGACCACGATCATAATTTACAACCATAATTGGTTGTGTTTAGTTAGTAAGGATGTGTGCTTAGTAATGGTTTGGTTCTGAAAAAATGAATTGGTTTTAAAAATTGGTTTGGTTTCTGAACTTGTTTGGAGAAAATGGTTTGATTTTTAAAGTCAGTTTGAAAAAATGTGAAACGGTTTGGTTTGGTTTGGTTTGATTTTTAACGCGAATCAAATTGAATTGGTAAAGTGATTTAATTCTTAAATCGAGCTGATATTAAAAGAAATAATTCGGTTCCTAAACTGATTTTGAAGAGAATGATTTGTTTCTTGAACCAATTAATGAAACGTGATTCTTTTGATTTGATTAATTTTTCCACACTAGTTAGTTGATGATTCATTTATGATCATTAGATAGTTGATTATTAGTGTGTTATGTATTAGTATATGTTGTATTATTGTAAACAACTTTTTTCATTATGTAATTTTAAATTTCACGTTACAAAAAAAAAAAAAAAAAAAATCCCTTTCTTTCTATAGGCTTTCTCTGACTCTCTTTTACCGTGTGTTGTAACAAGGTGTTCGGAGAAATTCGAGGATGCAGAGAGGATTAGGAAGTTAGTAAAGGAGTCATTTGAGCTTGCTGCGAAGCTGTGCTTTGGGGATGTGTTGGGCCCTTTCAAGGAGTTGAGTTTTTGGGTTTATGGGAAAAAGGCTACGGATTTAAGCATGAGGTATGATGAGTTGTTGGAAAAGTTGCTGAAGGAGCATGAAGAGAGAAGATTAGTAGGTGGAAATGGTGGTGATGAGATTGAGAGGGATTTGATGGATATTCTGTTGGATGTTTATCATGGTGCTTGTGCAGAGTACAAGATCACAAGGACCCATATCAAAGCCTTCTTTTTGGTAATTTTCATTTATCATAATTTATCTTTTTATTTCAACCCCACTTCTTTTAATGTATTGCTACCCATTTACATTTGCCAAATAGTGCTGAAAAGTAGGACTGCATTTTATTAGTAAGATAATTTTCGTTATTTCTGAATCTAGTGTGGATTTGTTACACCCAGATAACAAATTAATATCGAAGGATGGTTTCTTCCCGTTTCTTTTTTGGTAAGTTTATGAAAAGTTATATTAAAAATTTATGATTTAGTTCTGTTTTAAAAGGTGTAGGAAACAGAGTATCAATGACTTTTCCAGTAATTTCTAAAATAAGAATTTTTAGAGCTATATTTGAAGAACTAACTATCTCACTCTTTTTTATTTAATTTTTTCTTTCTCGTTTGAAGTAAATAAGGTATAAAAAATTAGTCTGAGGAATGGCTGGATATACTTTTTTTTTTTTTTTTAATTCTAACTTTAATTGTGTGTTCTCTAAAAAGATTACTTGCTTCACAATTTTACCACGAACTAAAAACATTAAACTTGTCATCCATTAACATTTGACAAAAAGATTAGTTGATAATTAACAGGAACATTAGCACTACTTTAGTTAATCATTGCTGATAGTCTCAACATAAATCGGGGAGGTTTATTATACTTCATTTTAAGTTACACTTTGGTGATTAATAAATTAAACTGATAATTGCAAGCAGGATCAACAGTTAAAATTGAGTGTAAAACTTATTATTCTTATACTAATATTAATTGATAGTTGGTGCTACATCATATTTTTTCTTTCCAGTATATTACTTGCTTCGAAACTAACAAAAAAAATAAAAATAATGATAATAAATAAACTTGGGGAGTTCTGCTAATTATACTTATTTTTTTTCTATTCTTCAACTAGTGCCTTTTGGGTCAATTGATAGCAAAACTCTTTGAACTTATCATGGTTAACATTTGACAAGAACATTAGCATTGATTTAGATTGTAACAGTTAATTGTTATTAAGATTACCATGGCCTTTATCAAGCTAATATTTACTCTTGTGGCAGGATCTCTTCATTGGAGGCACAGACACCTCAGCAGAAGCAATGCAATGGACAATGGCTGAACTCCTTAACCATCCTGAAGCATTCAAGAAGGTAAGAAATGAGATAGAGTTAGTCACTGGGAATGTTAGGCTAGTTGAAGAATCAGATATCCCAAACCTGCCATATTTGCAAGCAGTTGTGAAGGAAACATTGAGACTTTACCCACCAGCGCCAGTAGCAACAAGAGAATGCCGCCAAGACTGCAAAATTAATGGCTATGATGTACCAGCAAAAACAGCAGTAGCAATCAATTTATATGCTATAATGAGGGACAAAGATTCTTGGGATGATCCAAATGAATTCCACCCTGAAAGGTTCTTGGTCTCATTGAAGGAACAGGAGGATGATGATCCAAGTGATCATCAGAATGATGCTACTAAGAGAATGAACTTCAATTTTGTTCCATTTGGAGCAGGAAGAAGAGGGTGCCCAGGGACAACACTGGCATTCAACATGATTAACACTGTAGTTGCTGCTATGGTTCAGTGCTTTGATTGGAAAATTGGTGAAGATGGAAAAGGAGAAAAGGTTGATATGCAATCTGGATCTGGCATGTCTTTGAGCATGGTTCATCCACTTATTTGTCTTCCTGTAGTACATTTTAACCCATTTCATGAATAATTCAAGGTGAAATGTTTATCCTTTTATATGTCATTTTAAGTGAAACACTAGTGTTTGACTTAATATTTAAATTAAATTTTTTTCTATTAATAACCTCTTACATATGTTGCATCAACACTGGCATGGGATACGAGACATGATAGGACATGTTAATTTTAAAAAATGTCATATTTTGATATGTTAAGACACGTTTTGATATTAAATAATATTTTTAATATATATAATATAATTTATATTTAATACATATAACCGTCCATAATAAGTCATATAACCAATTAAATATTCAAATTTCATAACATAAATATAAAGCAAAAGTAATTATTCATACCTTGTTAATTTTTTATGTCAAATTCTATAACAGAAAAAAATTGACTTATAAATTGATTTTTTATTTTTAGTTAATAAAATAAAATTTAGACTTAAAAACAACAAAGAGTGTCGAAGTATTGACCACGTGTCCGAAAAAGTTGACTGCATATCGAAAACACGTGTTGGAATGTGTTGGAGCGTTGACCGCGTGTCCCAAAATATTTACAGCATATTGGAACGTGTCAGTGTCCTTTAAAAAGACGTGTCGGTGCATTCTAGCCTCTTACTTTCCTCCCTCATGATCATCAATTGTGTGACAAATTTCATTCATCATAAAATAGCTATTTTATTTAAAATAATACAATTTTGTGTCCTTTAAAGGATAAATAATTTTCCCATAATTTTAATATAATGATATAATGAAGACTCACCTCTGAAAAACTTTCTATTATGCAGCTATTAGTGAAGTTTGTTGAAGACAACAACGTTGCTTACTCTCTTTAACCAACAACTTAGGGGATTATTAGCTAATTTAATAAAACACTGGTAATTAAAGTTTGTGACAGTTAGTTTGGCTTTAATTTATGAGGTTGTGCACCATTCATTTAGAATAAATTCTTCCTCAACACTTGATATGGAATCTTGATTATAAGTGTAACAAATTTCACTGAGAGTGCAGTACTGCAGTGCAATAACAAATAACACAGAACCCTATTGAGCACTGTTAAATACTGAACAAGTCTACAAAGATTGAAGAATCTTAACAGAGTGGAGGTCTACTATATTCATAACCTCATCAAACGTGGGCACCCTCTCCTTCCTCCTCCAAAAAAATCATAACCTGATCTAACCTTCATGAATTGATTTAAAAATTAATTGAATAATAATTGTTTACGACAAAATAATTAAAGTTTAAAATATAAGTAGTTATACTAAGCAATTATCTCTTCACAAAATTGTGTTAGAGCGTGAAGGTATCATCCTATTAAATATTGGTAATTTTAAATAAATTTGGTTGTATAAAGATAATTCTAAAATGTATGATATGAAAGAGGCTGCTCGAAATAACGGTACAAATATGACACTTGTCACTTGTGTCACTTAATTGATTAAGTTCATTACTGGCAATCTAAAAGAACGATACCCAAATTTTATCATACCTACCTTATAATAAAATAAATATAAAATACTCATAATAATTAACAGAACTTTTTTTTTTTATATATAAATTATTCGATATTCGGTCGCCAACGAGTGCTGGTTAATTTGAATTTCAGACTATTGATTAAGCTGAAATAACCAAATAATTTTTCATCAATTCATCCACATGTCTAGTACTTATCAGAAATTCTTGTAGCGTATGCATGATTGATGTTGATGAAAATTTGAATAATATAAAATAAGTTAAAGTTTCGACAATTTTTTTTTTTATGTAAAAAGAAAAGTAAAGGTTCCTTGGGAGGCCACGGAATATAAACCCATACGCAACAACATTGTGCCTAATATGGCAGCTAAGATCAATAATTCATTCACCATTTTATTCCGGTACGTAACACACAATTAGAACTTAAAAATGACCAGTATTGCCTCTTTCTAACCAGAAGATTTTAGCAAACAGAAAAATCAATGCTATTATTCAAGCCAAAAGGCCAAAAACTATGGTATATTGGGATGCATGTGTTCGAGTGTTAACAAGTTAGGTGAACTTGAATATACTTTTTGTCCTAGTTTCAAGTTAGAGGACTTAGTCTTCCTTTCTTTGATTTTATTTAAGAAAATTCCGGACAGTTTAACACTTGAAGAAAAAATAAAAACCACTGGTAATCAATCTGTTGATTCTTTCAATAATAAAGGTTACAGTTGTCATGATATCAAGCAAACTTCACTATGTTTCCCATTTTATACAGAATATGCTAGTTGAACCTCCTAATTTCCCTTGCTTGTAAGTATCATCATGCAAGTTAAACTGTGAGAAAATATAAATTTCATAAATCAGAAACCACAAAAGGACATCTCTTATGGCATTGAAACAACTTTCCCTTCTTATCATGCTCTTCTCCTTAGGTAATGGCAACTACACATTCTCTTTCTCTAACACACAACATTTAGTGTTTGATTTTTAAAACTGTTTTTACATATATTATAATTTTATAACAATATAAGAGGACGAATTTGGAGCAGTGATAAAACTATTCCTTTGTAACTGAAAATCATGGGTTTAAATCCGAGAAACAATCTCTTTGTAAATATATAAGGGTAAAGTTGCTTACAAGAATCGCTCTCACCCCTACCATCACTAGTCGGGGTTTGATGAGTGGTTTATAATTTTATGACAATGTACCTCATTTGGGTTTCTCTTTTATTTCAGGAGTCGATGCAACAGTCTTTACTTTGCAAAATAGATGTAGGAACACAGTATGGCCTGGGATCCTATCAGCAGCAGGAAAACCACAACTCATTGAAGGTGGAGTTCAGCTAGAACCTGGCCTGGCCATGAAAATCACTGCACCAAAAGGGTGGTCTGGCCGCTTCTGGGGGCGGCATGGATGCACCTTTGATAGCTCCGGTAGCGGAACATGCATCACTGGAGACTGTGGAGGAAAACTTAGATGTGCTGGAGATGGAGGTGTACCACCAGCTTCACTAGCAGAGTTTACACTAGACAGCCCTGAGGGGGATTTTTATGATGTTAGCCTTGTTGATGGTTACAACATGCCAGTGTCAATCTTCCCTTCTGGAGGATCTGGGGAGTGTAAGGAAGTTATATGCCGTTTAGATTTGAAGAGAAACTGCCCAAGTGGATTGGAGTTGAGATATAAAAATGACATTGTTGGTTGTAAGAGTGCATGTATGGCATTCAACAAGCCAGAATATTGTTGTACTGGAGAGTTCAATAGCCCCAACAAATGCAAGCCAACGAGTTATTCAAAGGTGTTCAAGGCTTCTTGTCCTCAGGCTTATAGCTATGCCTATGATGATGCAACCAGCACTTTCACTTGCCAAGGAGCAGATTACTTAATTAGGTTTTGTTAGGATAGGTGTGAATAGACTATATTTGGGGTGTGTATGTTTTCGTTTTCGTGTTCTTTTTTTGGGGTAAATTGATTTGATCTGTTATTGCAAGTTTAGGTTGCACTTGAAGCGTAGACTTTCCACCGAGATGTCATATCATATATACAAGAGAAGAGTTTATTATGAGAAATATACATTCTAGCCATTGAATATTGAATAAATGGTTATGATTAAAATTATGAATGATATATCTATCAATGTAAACCCGGTCACAGATGATCAGTAAAAATGGAAGCTAGGATATCCATCATTGTCGAGAGCAACGAAATCCATTAACGAATAAGGATCCGAGGACCATTTTTACATTCAGATTTAAGGTGAAAAGATCGTGACCTATTACCTATAAAGAGGTAAGAAACTTGGTATAGTCGAAGACGCCACAAACGATAATGGAAATCCTTTGATAAGTCGAAGGGTAAACGCCACGGAAGAATTCTGATAAATTCAATAGTTCTTCAATGAACCAAATAGAAAACTATCAAAATCATGAATATAATGCTTCCTTGAATTCTTTTTCTTCAGCCCTCATAATTTGACCAAATGATATTTGGATTGCATCCTTTCATGCCATTCCCAGATTCACATCACATCAGACGAAAACAAATTTATGAACATTACTTCAAGAGAAATGAAAACCCCAATCATCTACTGCAGAGGGACATAAACATTTCTCAAACACGTAGATCCTAAATGAAACTTAAAAATCACATCAATGAGTCAACTATTCAGATCAATCTAGCATAATGACAAAAAACGTAAGAGGTCTAGTGCATGGAAAAGGAGGATAACAACTTTAGCAAGGAAACTGCTTCAGGATGAATATAATAATTGAAAATTTTTCACACATGATCAAACTCAATACAATAACAGCAGGGGGATAGTCATTCATTTCAAATCCCACAGTTTCTTTTTTCTGGTGACAAAATCCCATACTGTTAATTGTAAAATGAATTATTTAACTGGCTTTAAGAGCATGTTTAGGCAACGAGGATTTCCTATTATGTATAATTAAGAGAATAATGTCCTGTTCCATTCTCGGGAAGCTGCTTTGAGTAGTAGTTATGGCAAAGGATTCAGTTCCATATACATTGATTAAATTCCACAAATTCTTCATATCAGTCTTGAGTTGGTGTCTGATTTCATATCAATGTCAATCAAAGTAACAAGAAACTTTAAAGGCGAAAATTTGCCCAGCAACAATCGCCTGAAAAGTAAAGTACAGTCAAAAGAAAAAGAAAAAGAAAAGTATATATAAAACCCACAATAGCAAGGGGAAGGGAAGGAAAATAGCCCTTACCTAAGATAAAGGTGGCTCTAGGAGAAAAGAAATTCTAAAAAATACTGCAACAATTGAATCTCCTTTTAGCTTTTAGGCATTCAGGTTCTTGCAATGGGACCTTAATTTTTGTTCCTTCAAGTTCAAGGTTTACTTTATCCCAATTTGATTCAGGTCCATCAGCAATCATGTGCTTCTTACTCACTGTTCTATATACTTGTGAGAGGAGACCAAGGAATGCTGATTCTACATTGTTGGAGTCAAGTGCTGATGTCTCCATGAAGAAGAGATGCTCCTGCTTGGCGAAGTCTTTGGCTTCTTCAATAGGCACTGCTCGGCTAGAACTCAGGTCAGATTTGTTGCCAACAAGCATCACAATTATATTTTTATCTGCATGCATCCGTAGCTCATCCAGCCACTTTTCAACATGTTCAAAGGATTGACGCTTGGTTATGTCATATGCTAGTAATGCACCAGTTGCACCTCTATAATATGCAGTTGTAATTGCCTGGTACCTGTGATGAATGCCAACATTATCACAGGAAAATGAAATTGACATCCATATAAAAGTAACTAATAAAACACAGAATAATGGCAATTGGCAAACAAGTTAAAATTCATCAATAAAGTGACAACTGACAAGCAAGAAGCATCAACTTTTGAACATTTTGATGATTATCATGTACTTGGGGGATCATAATTCACTATTGGCATCTTTTTGTTTGATATATTTAAAAAGCTATGCCGGTTTTTGTTTCTTAAAAGATCAGATCTTAAATTTTAGTTAAAGGACCACATTTCACTACTAGCATCTTTTGGTTTGATTATATTTAAAAACTACGCTGGGTTTTGCATCTTAAATTCTCAGATCTTAGCTGTATTGTTAACTATTATGCATAGAAAATGATAATTTCAGCTGTTGTGACGAAAAAAGCACATCCAATGAAAAGTAATTCACATTAAAGAAAAAAAAAAAGTGGGTTGGAGAAAATTTTGGACCTTTCTTGACCAGCAGTGTCCCAAATCTGTGCCTTGACTAGTTTGTGATCCATGACAACCGTCTTGGTCAGAAATTCAACCCCAATTGTGGCTTTGGATTTCATGTGGAATTCATTTTTGACAAACCGATTCAAAAGCTGAGACTTTCCAACCCCAGAGTCCCCAATCATAACAATCTTGAACATGTAGTCAATACCCTCATCCAAATCACCCTGTGTCTGAGCCATTCTCCCTCTGTGGTTTCCAACAACCCTTTTGAGAACTCAACTCAACAAAGCAAACCCCACCTTGGATCCTCACTGTTTTCTGCATAAAAATGTGGTCTTTCTCTTTTTCAGTTTCTTTGTGCACACTCTTTGTGTGGTGGCATTTAATAGGAGAGGAAAAAAGGGGTGTTTGGATAGTCATTTTGGTAAGGAGGGAAATAGAAACGCTAAAATGGTATGTCAATATGTTTCTTTCATGTATTGATCACCCTTCCCTCTTTATATCAGAATGGTTGCCATTGAAAGCGTTCATTTTTGGAAGCAAAGAAAACAAATTTACCAACAGGAAAGAGTGGGACATTGATTCTATTATAACCAATGTTATTAAACTGAGCCGATTAAACTGAGCCGATTATTGACAAGGTCTGGATATTGGATCTAGGGGTGATAATAAGCTCAAGATTTATATTCATGCAAAAATATTTTATTTAAAAGCCCTCAAGGCTTCCATAGCCAAGCTCGGCCTTGAAGCCTCGGAGGCGGGTCAATATACATTAAATTTATTTATTTTTTATATTTTTATATTAATCATTTCAACATCATTTTCTCAGTTTTCTGTCTTTGCTCTATCTCTTCTCCCCGATTTAAGTCATCGTCCCATCAACAAGTAAATGAAACCATGTTCATCATCTATTTTTATAAGCCATGCGGATTCCACGGCTTATAATGATGCTTATGGCGGCAACCGTGGAAGAAAATTTAATGGTGGGGTTCAAATCTAGTGTAAAAAATCTAGAATGTGGAAGAAAATTAAGGAAAAGTAACATAAAATAAAGTAAAGGTACTGCTGTTATTTTGATTTTTTAATATTAATATATTTTTTTATTATAAAAGAAATAACTATTATTTTCTTACAAAAAAATACATATTAGTGCATGATTAATGGGCTAAATACTGCTGCAAATTGGAATGTAAGGTTTTTATTTTTAATAAATAAACAGGCCATAGGCTTGAGACAAACTTTTATTTTTTGTAGACGAACCAGGCCACAAGCTAATATTATATTCGTAACAGGTAACAGGCTAAGGCCAGTCTGACACGTTTAAATACAAGCTTGGCCCGTTATGATCAAAGCTCGGCTCGGCTCGGCCCGTTAACACCCCTAATTGGATCATTGGTTCCAACAGCGGACCTAAATTTTTTTTTTGATGTATACACACTTAGAATAAAAGAATAAAAGAAAAAAAATTTAAAGAAAATTTTAAATATATTAAAATACATAAGAATATATATATAAAAAAAACTTTAACTTAATATAAAAAAGTAATCAAGAGTCAACTAAACTAAACTGTTACAGTAGAACATTTTGGGTCCTCAACAATTACGGGCCTCAATTTAATCTCTTAGGAAAAAAAAGTCTACTTGTGATCCCTCAAAATTCAAAAATAGATCCAGATAATTAAAATCACAATCCTCTAAAATTCAAAAAGATCCACATTAATCCCTCAAAAGGACTAACATAGGTCTATTTTGGAATTTAAAGGGATCACGAGACGATTTTTTTAAGAGATTAAATTGGATCCTGTAATTTTTGTGGATGACCCAAAATATATATATACTTTTTTTCTCCAAAAAATTTGTGTGTGCAGTGTGCACTTACACACACTAAAACATATACAGGTCCGCTACTGACTGGTTCAATCAATGGGTCACTGATTCAACGCATTATTTGGTAATTATATGCAATTTTATAATTTATATTAAAAAATTATAAACATACTCAAATATCTAAAAAAATATAAAAATTTCAAATGTTTTAATATAAAAAATAATAAATCACATATTATTATCCAATAAAGGATCAAACAAAAATATAATGATCGTGATACGGGGCTTCAGGCTCAATAAACGACATCTCTAACTATATTAGAGATAATATTAGTGTTGTAGGTACATAACTTATGTAAGTCAATAAGTAAAAAAATATTCAAATATGTCCATTATGATTTTTTTTTAAAACAAAAATTTTGAAACATTTTTTTTTTGGGACCAGGCTGCCGGCTGGGTCACTGGTTTTCATGAAATCTGGCCGGGTCGCACCGGTTCTCATCCATGACCAGTCCATTACTTCAACCAGACCAATTATACAACTAATTTATCGATTCCTGAGTTAATCCGAACGAGTCGATCCATTTTATTAAAACGGAAAAAGAAATATTAGCTTACTCACCTACTACCACCCATCCATCAAAGTGTTTTCATTTTCTCAAACATATAATTTTTCTTTTGTAAAGTCACAATAAATAAATAAATAAATAAATAAAAAAAAAAAAAAGGGAACAGAATATATAAAATTCAAATTTTGATTTCTTTATTCATGTCTTGTGACTTCAACTAGAGACCCGCGGGGGTCATAATTTTAACTCTGGATCAAATGAATTTTAACTACTTGAGACTAGGAGGTAACAATTCAAGTTGATATGACGTCAACACACGCGAATATAATCAACACGAATACTACATGAATTTGAAATTGGGTTAAAACTTTTAACATGACGAACTTATTTTGTGGGTTGAGTCTACGATACGACACGAATAATCCGCAAACTCATAGTGTATCATTTATTATGTGAGTTGATCAACCACAAATTATGTCACTTATTATGCAGGTCGACCCGACATGATAAGGCACAAATAACATGTTTACGACATGACACAACACAACATGAAAAACCTATAAGAAAATTAATGTGAGTCAATTTTAGGTTAACAAGTTGACACGCGACACGATACGAATTCTTTCAAGTCCAATTTTGCCAACCTGCCACGAAGTTGAAAACGGATCGACCCAAACACGAAATTTTCGTATCGTGTTTAAAATTGCCACCCTATGAGAAATATTAATTGCTTGAATCTAAACTGGGTGAGTTGGTAGTTTCTATCCCTTAACCAATGACGAGTCAACTTATCCCAATTTTAACAAGTTGAAGACAGGATAGGACATATTGACCCGTTTTGCCATCTCATATAATAAAAGTTATATCATTATTATAATATATAACGTACTATGTTATGGGATTTGGATTCTTTCCATTTTGCTGATAGACAACAAAGAGAAAAAAAAAAGTAAGTTTTATTTGGCTTAACAACAGTAACTATCATATGCGTTCAACTACTAACAAACAGTAATAAGGAACTGGAATTCCAAATTTCATGAATTTTCCCTTTAAAATTCACATCCCTGCTTATTTACATGTTATAGCATATTTCTTGTAGAAAATTAACAACTGAAGCACTATTATGAAATTTTCCAATTCCAAATTTCAAATCCAATCAATCCTCTCCCCGGGCATTGAAACCAGATTCATAAATATAAAATTATCAATATTCACTTCAGGTTATCCCAAACCTTGAAGCTCTTAACTAGCAAGATTTCATACACTTGATTTCCCAATCAAAGGTTTATAAAGCAAGAATTGCAAGAACCACTCTCATGGCTTCTTGAAACAAAAGATTGCTAATCAAAATGCAAGAATTATGTATAACAAGTATTCAATTACAATAGTACTCTTCAATTATTTAGAATTCCAGTTAAAAATTTAAGAATTCATCTTAACAGTAAATCCAACTAAAATTCTGAAATTGAAATAACTTGAATAAAAACCAACTTCAAAAGTAAAGAGTATTAGGATACAAACCATGAGCTTCAAAATGTAAAGGTTCAGAAATGAAAAATGCTTGTAAAAGGGTGTTGAAATCTCAAAAATACACAAGAGAATCCTATCTTCTTGAATCCTTCAAAAATGTTTTCTTTCCTTGTGCTAGCATCTCAAGAGCTAAGAAACTAAGAACTGAAAAACTGATGATTGTAAAAACTAGAAACTAAAACCTTACTACTCAAAACAAAAATTCCTATTTAACCCAAAAAGCCAAGAGCACTGTTGTCCATCTGGTCAGACTACATCCTAGGTCCACATTTCACCTCCTATCAGCCTTTTTTTTGCACACGTGGCTCTATTGCTGCAATAACATAGCAAAACATGAGTAAGATTCACAAAAGATTTATCCAATCTGCCAATTGCTTGTTTGGGCCCATTCTTTATAATTGGGGCCCATTTACCTGCATTTGAATACACTTTTAACCCAATAGCATAGAAAGTACAATGCTAATTCATGTAAAAATAACAACTAACAAAATACCCCAAACTTAAAATCTCTACTTGTCCTCAGGTAGACATCCAAGTCTCAACTCAGTTATTTTCCCTTTTTATTTTAATTCATCAATCAAACAAACCAGTAACTTAGCAGCTCAGTTCTCCATTTATCACCTTACATTTCAACCACTAACATTAATTAACCCTATGTCATTTAGTGTCTATATCAACCGGTAGTTCATTCCAAACTAAGACATCAATTAAACAAATAGCACATTATGCTACAATGCATATCAAGCAGTACTGTAGACAACTCATATCAGTTCAATTGCCATGCACTGAATTCCTCACTAGGCTCTTTTCATATCACTTTTCTCTCATTTTTTCTAGGGTCAGTCACTCATCACCAGCTCTACATTGTTATATCTCACCCTAAAATTTACCTAGACATTTGATGTCTAATATGTGATAAACCTTTAGTTTATCTTATTTTATAGACTAAATTAATATAAAATATCAAGTTAAATAAGTCAAAAACTAGGGTTTAATATAATAATCATGAACATTATCTGAATTTTGTTTAATTGAATCATCTTTGCTATTTTTAAGAGATTTGTTGACAAAAGGAGTCAAAGATGAAGATTGGATAGATAGAGATCACAACTAGAAGAGATGATAGATCAAGAGATGATAGAGGAAGATCAAAAACAAGATAGATTTGAGATCTTATCAAGTTGTTAGAGAGGAAGCTTAAGCCTCCATCATGAAGCTTAAGCCTCTTAAACAAGCAAATAGCCTCTGCCAATGGAAGCTTAAGCCCCAATAAGGAAGCTTAAGCCCCAATAAGGAAGCTTAAGCCTCCAAGATACGCAAAAAGTCTCGGCCTATGGGCGCTTAAGCCCCCAACTCAGGGCTTAAGCGCGCTGCCAGAAGAAAGCTTCAAGTCGAGGAGCGCGCTTAAGCGCCCTCCAGTGCGCTT